GTTTTTATATTTATTTTTTTATTTTTTTTGTGTCTGTGTACACGATAAGTAGTCGAAATAATGCTTCGATTTTCGACTTCAGTATCTTGTTCGATGGGAAAGTGAATCTAGTTGGTACGTTCGGGAGGTCAAATTTTAAAATTCCCAATAGTTTTCACAAGCACTGAGAAAAACAACATAAAAATGAAAGAAGGTCAAAATTTAAAATTCAAAGTAATTTTCAAAAGCGCCAAGAAAAACAAAAGAAATATTAATTATTAATTTGTAATACCTATTGATTATATATATTATATACTATATTATTATAGTATGCTAGTAGGGCTATAGTATATTTTCATTATTCAAGATAATAATATTATGTCTATCAAATTCTGATTATCGGAATTTTTATTTCTGTCACAATAATTCGTCGAGACGCCAGACGGCAGACGGTGCGGGCCGATAACGAAAAACGCGAGTGCTTGAATAGAGTAGGGGAAGCCACGTTGTGCTGTTTTACGCCACCAGGGAATATTTCGATAATAATTAGAAAAATTATTTTACAATAATTTCACATGCCAAAAATTGTTTTGCGCGGGACAACTTTACTCCTTCAATATTAGCAAAAAAATTACCAACATTTTACATCCCTATAAAGAAGAAATTTATCTGTGTCGTAGCGTCGTTATTTTTTTGATAAAACTACCCAATAATTTTTAATAATTAATTGAAAAATACAAAAAAACCTAATGTTCTCAAACCAATAACTTTAATCGTGTTTATGTTATCCAAAAAATAAAAACTCTACGACATAGATAAAATTCTTCTCTATGTGTTGTAAAATTTTGGTTATTCTATTATAGTTATGATGCGAGAAAAGTTGTCCCGCGCGAAACAGTTTTTACAACCAAATTACGAGTGGTGTGGCGTCCTCTTAATAGAACACGACATCCTCCTCAAAAACCAAACACCCATAGCACTCAAACCATATCCCTATTCACCGGTAAAACAAGCCACAATCGATACCATGATACGGGACATGGAAGAGCAGGGACTTGTAGAACAAAGCACATCCCCGTGGGCCGCACCCATCGTCTTAGCAAAAAATAAAGACGGCTCACCCCGACTGTGCATTGATTATAGGCGACTCAATGATGTCACTGAGTCCGACGCTTACCCAATGCCCGACCTCAATACGCTGATACGTCAGATGAGAGGGGCAAAAGTGTTCAGCGTTCTTGACCTTAAGTCGGGGTACTGGAAAGTACCACTTAAGGAAGACGCGCGAAAATACACGGCATTCCGGACGCGTCGGGGCCCATACCAATTCCGAGTCCTCCCTTTCGGCCTCAAAAACAGCCCCATGACCAATTCACTTATCGGTGTTGGCCACAGGCAACCCGCCCGATTTGCCGCCAGCTCAAGGTGCGCTCGATGCCCACTGTGTATTCCACAGTCATATATAACGTGCTTCACGTCCTCTAGTCCATTCCCGCATGTACATTGGGGGCTTGGTCGTAGGCCCAGCTCCGATAACTTTGCCTGGAAGTTTCCATGCCCCGTTAAAAATTGCGCAACCTCATGGCCTAGCGAAATGGGCAGCGTCAACCGGTGCCTGATGTCCGGGAAACATTCGTAGGTCCACCTTCCCTTCTGAGATGTTGTCCATCGCGTCTGCCATGCGTCTAACATAACTGCAGTAGCCGTTCTCATTGTTTCTAACCTGTGTGTGTCTGGTAGAAGCTTGGCATCCTCCTTGGCGGCAAGCCATGCCAGTTCCAAATCCAGAGGCGGAACACCCGCCAATACCTGCAGAGCCGCCGTAGAGGTGCTTCTGTATGCGCCTGTGATTCCTATCAAGGCTTTCCTTTGGAGTGTTCCCATTTTCCTTTTCCTTCCCACTACACTATTCGCCAATGCGTGACTCCAGAAACGAACCCCGTAAGATATTTTGGGCAGGAACACGCCCCTATAAATGATCATTAAGTTCGAGCGCCTAATTCCCCAGCCCGCTCCCATCGCACCGCGCAGTCGGGAGAACAATGTGTGCTCAGCAGCGGTTATTCGATCCACATGCACCCTGTAGGACCTCCCTGGGTCCAACCACAGACCGAGGTACTTTACGCTATCTACCGACGTTATTCTGTCTTCACCAAAGGCTATTGTGAAACCAGGTACCAGATCTCCCTTTGTCATCATGGCCTGCGATTTTGCGGCTGAAAAGGAGAGGCCTCTGTTCATTGCCCAATCCAGTAACGGGATCAGGGCCTGTTCAGTTCGCTGTATCAAAGCAACTCTAGTCTGGCCAGCAATACTGATGGCGATGTCATCTGCATACGCCTGTATGGACACGTATTCCGGGAAGTTTTCCCTAAGTAGAGCCTCCATGGTCACGTTCCAAAGTATTGGTCCCAAGATTGAACCTTGTGGGCACCCCTTTGTGACCATCACAGTTTTCGTGACTCCCGCTATTGTCATGGTTGCCGTTCGGCCTGAAAGATAATTCCCTATCCACTTCCTTAGGTGCCCCGTTACACCTAGACTCTGCAAATCCGTTTGTAGGGCTGGCCAGGCCAAATTGTCAAATGCCCCTGTGATGTCAAGGAACACTGTTAACACATATTTTTCCGATCTTAGGGCACTCCACGTTAATAAGCGGTCCACTGCCTCCGTTGTTGATTTTCCCTTTGTGAAGCCATACTGCTTGCCCGTGAGGTTCGGGGCTATCTGCTCCTGTAGCCGAACGTTTATGGCCTTTTCCACGATCTTACCCAAAACTGGTAACAAACTCACTGGTCTATACGATTTTGGCTGGCCAACATCCCTGTCCTCTCCCTTTAAGATTGGTACTACCTCCGCCGATTTCCATGACGCCGGGAACACTGCATCACGGAGACAGGCATTTGTTATGTCTAGCACCCTGGTCGAGAGGCGCGGCCATAGGACACGCACCATTTTGCCTGTAATACCGTCATTACCCGGGGCCCTGTTTGGGGCAATAGACCACGCTAGGTCCTTAATTGTGTCTTCATCAAATGGATGGAGATCACACACCGTGTGTCCCACCGCACTCCGCTGCTGTTGATGTGTATCATTTGGTATCAATGTGTTTAGTAGCAGATCCACAGACTCATCCAGTGACCTGCACCGGGACCCATCCGCCTTTAGCAATAGACCAATGCTGGTCTGTCTCTTACTACCATTTTTCAACCATCTGTATAGTCTACCCCATGGCTGTTTTCCCTCCGAGGTGCAAAATGCCCTCCATGAATCCAGTTTGGATTTCCTCAGCTGGCTGGTGTACTCGTTTCGCCTAGCGTTGTATGTATGGCGGTCGCCCACCGTTGTCATGCGTCTGGCCGCCGCCCTTACCGCTCTCCGGGCTGCCTGTAGTTCTTCGGTCCACCACGGAGGGGTTACCTTCAGACGTATTCTACTCCTTGGTGCATGACACATTGCCGCTGCCGTGACATCCTCCACCAGTTCCAGGGCCTGTCTATCCGGGTCTGTTTGCACCACATCCCGTTGACTGTCCCGGTTATCATAGTCTTGACGAAATCTCAAGTAGTTCTGCTTTAGGAGATTGTATCTCGTCGCTCGGTGCATAAACTGTCGCCGTTGGAGTTCAATAGCAAACTGTATTATCTGGTGATCACTTGAAGTTTCCGCGGGGATGATCTCCCAATCCATAAGTTTTGGCGCCAGTTCCCTAAACCACGGACGAACACCAGTGCCACTTAGACAAAGTTCTAGAACGCCTACAGAGACACGGGCTGACATGCAACCCCGAAAAATGCAGATTCGGAGCAACCGAAATCTCATTTCTTGGACACCTAGACACCTCCGATGGAATAGACAAACAACCGGAGAAACTAGAGGGCATCATAAATTACCCCCACCAACTAAGCTGAGGGACCTACGGAAGTTCCTGGGCGTTTGCAACTGGTACAGCCAGTTTGTCGACAACTACGCTGACACCATAGCACCCTTAATGAATAGGCTCAAACAGGGGACCAAATGGTCGTGGACCGAAACCGAACAGGCGGCATTTACCAAAATAAAACGCGCCCTGTACGATTCGACACCGTTTTGCCTAAAGACCGATGCTAGCGAGATAGGAGCTGGTGCCGTCCTTTTCCAACGGGGTGACAGCCCGGACGAAAGGCGGATAATCGCCTACGCAAGCAAAAAGTTTAGTGATACGCAAACAAGGTACGCCGCGGTAGAACGCGAGTGCCTCGGAGCAACCGACAAGTTTAGACCATACCTAGAAGCCCGCCGTTTTGACCTATACACAGACAGGCTCCACCGAGCCAAAAATACAAATTCCAAGTTAACCAGGTGGGCATTACAGCTGGCTAACCTGGACTACAAAACCACGCAGTGGCGCCGAACTACAAAAAATGCAGTATGGCAAATATCAAATTTTAATAGTACCTACCCACCAACTAATAGGTGTACACAGGGGGGGGGGGCTGAAACCCTACCATCATATTGTATTCATAATTTATATTAATACATAATATACATTACATCTATTTTCATATTGTGAATTATCAATAATTTAAGATATAGGTGTTCACATAATTATTTTAAGCAAAATGTTGAGTCTACATAATATTTATTTTCATGTCCCTCCAACAATAAAAATTCCATGTACACAACTATTATTGATATTAATATTAAAATATATCAAACAGCTCATACTGATGAGTTGTAGGTATTATTTAATAGGCTATTTTTTTAATAGGCTGCTTTCATTTGTTATGTACTTATGTTTACATTTTAGAATTTAAATTATTTATTTAAGAACAACTTGTGGATTTCTGATTTTTGAAATTTTATACAGATAAGCATAGATTAATATTTCAAATACATAGGTACATAGTAAAGAATAGTATATGAAATTAGTTTTTTTTACAACTCTTAATAAACTTATTTTATGTGTAAGTAAAGTGAAAATGTAATTTAATAGTTAAAATTTGTAACATTTACAAAATATAATAGTTTATAAAAATTATTTAAATAATTAATAATTTAGTGAGTGGCGTTGACTTGCTTGCAAATATATCTATTATTTTATCTTTATCAAGAGATATATCAGGTTCGCAACTTATTTTGACCATTTGCTCCAATCTGTCTTGACACATAGTTGTACGAAGCTTAGTTTTTATTAATTTTAGTTTAGAAAATGATCTCTCAACTGTACAACTAGATACGGGAAGTGTAACAGTTATTTTCAATGTTAAATATAAATTTGGAAAAACATTTTGAAGTGATGCTGTACAGAAAAGTTTAAATAATTTTCCAACACTGGCTAAATTCTGTTTTGAGCAATTTGATGTTTGATCTTCTTCTTCGTCGTATAAACTAAAATCTATATAATTCTCATCGCCTGAATTCCCATCTTCGTCTAAATCATTGTCATTGATGATTGTGTGTAAATTTGATTTGAGTTTAATTGTAGATTCAATTTCTTTATAATTAACAACAAATTGTAAGTATTCTGATATTAAAGCATTTCTATCAACAAATTTATTATATACTTGACAAAATACTAAAAATGAGTCATCTGGTAAAACATTTCTTTCTCTTACTTCCATTATCCTTTTCTCAGTCAAAAGTTATAAATCGTTCAACACACCACAACTAATGACATTAAAACGACTATTAATTTCAGTAAGTGTAACATCAAAGAGTGTGTTATAAGTTTCTATTCTGAATTTTTTTATAGGTTCAACTATAGGTTCATCAATGCTCAGTTCTCCAGACTTTTTTGGAACTCTTTTTAACCGTTTATTTTTTAGCGGTTCAATTTCATACTCCAAGTCACTAATAAAATTATCGACTTTAATGTTTATTTTTTCAAACGCACTATCTTCACGCATATTTTTAACCCTAGGTTTAGTTTGATTTATTATTGCTGTTGCAGTAATGACATCGAAATCTTGAGTTTGAAGTATTTTATTAATAGGTCCAAGTATATCAAATAATTCCTTAAATGTAAATGCAGTTATTAAAAATTTGTAGGATAAAAAGTATAAAATTAAGCCACTTGCAGTCGATCCAGTTTTTGAATCACTGGGACCTTCTAAATCACGAATGTTAATCAATGTGTCAATAATAGTTTCAAAAAATGACAATACTGTATCAAGAGCTGCTGCATGGGACATCCACCTAGTAGTGCTTACTCTTTTTATTGCATGTAATTGTGTTCCATAATTTCTTTTTGACTGATTATTCCGAAATATAGCAACTCTCTTTTTTGAAGTCCATACAAAAGCGTATAATGTTTCCAAGCTTCCAAACATATCAACTGCATCAATATTACATGAAACTGCTTGCTTCACAACAAGGTTCAATCTATGCGCGTGGCACCAAATGAACAATGCATGAGGGCAGTCATTTGTAATGCGTGCTTGAAGACCTTTATAGTTGCCCCTCATATTACTGGCACCATCGTACGACTGGCCAATTAAATTATTATTCCAGTTAAGATTATTAGTCTCCATTACATCTTTAAATAAATCAAATAATACTTTTCCTGTAGTATAAGGTGATTCTTTTAGAGCAAGCAATCTTTCTTTTACGGCTCCATTTTCTTCATCTATGTATCGTATTACAAAAGACACTTGTTCTCTTTTAGATTCGTCAAAAGTTGAATCAATAGATATACTAAACATGTGAGTAGTTTGAACCTCATAAACAATTTTAGTAGAAATATTTTCAGCTATAGCTTCTAATAATTGATTTTGTCTTTGCCATGATAAAAACGATATTTGATGTTTACCTGCATTTTTAATTTTTGAAATATGTTCAAAGAGGACAGTGGAATTTTTTGCCATTAAAATAACTAAATCTTTGAAGTTGCCTTTAATAGTATTTGCCCATTGTTCACGATGACCTCGGAATGCCAAATTATGGAGAGCAAGAAAATGTACTATCTCTATTAGCTCTAAAACCACTTGTCTGTTATAAGCAACTTGAAATTTTCTTGTGTGTTCTAGAGCTGGTAAAATTGGAGCATTGGTTTCTCTAAGTTTAAATTTTAAGGATGATAAAATATGATCGGGAGCACATTCATGATTTTGTATTGCAAAAATTCCATTTTTCCAAGTAGAAAAGCCAGCCTGGGTCCAAGATTTGGCCAATTTATCATGTAAATTTATTCCAAACAAAAAGCAGTGTAAACAATAAACTTTATCAAGACTTACTGAATATGTTAACCAGTCTCTAAGTACTTTAGTTCCGTCGGTTAATAAACGAAAATACCACAAATCTTTGAAACTACGGCCATTTCTATCGATTGGAAAAGTTTTAGCAGGAAAATCATCTTTAGTTAGTTGACAAGGACCTATGTTTATAATCAACTTCTTCATTTCTGGTCCTAAGTTTTTCATTTTGACAATTATTCCAGGATCATTTGTCAGTCTGTTATCTAATAAAACAAAAATTAAATAGATAATTTCATAAAAATGTTCTCGGCTTAGTAGATATGTATATAATACAGATGAAAGATGTGTCTACTGCTTATTTAGATCAAATTAAATTAAATTTACCGGAAGATGAACCAGATGATATTAATGATAAAGTTTTGTTGGCTGTTTCAATATTTTGATCCATTGAGGAACAATCATGTTCATCCAATACAGTGTCATCAATCACATTAGGTGTATCTATTCATGAAAAAAAATTATATATTTTAAATGCCTTTTTAAAATATATTTGATTTGATTAAATTAAATTGTACTTACCCAAAGATGAACTAGGTGGTATTAATGTTAAAGCTTCTACATCATTAGCTGTTTCAATATTTTGATCCATTGAGGAACAATCGTGTACATCCAGTACAGTGTCATCAATCACATTAGGTGTATCTATCCATGAAAAATAATATATTTTACTTGCCTTTTTAAAATATAATTTAATATGATTAAATTTAATTGTACTTACCCAAAGTTGAACTAGATGGTATAAATGTTATAGCTTCTACATCATTAGCTGTTTCAATATGCTGATCCATTGAGGAACAATTGTGTTCATCCAGTACAGTGTCATCAATCACATTAGGTGTATCTATTCATGAAAAAAAATTATATATTTTAAATGCCTTTTTAAAATATATTTGATTTGATTAAATTAAATTGTACTTACCCAAAGATGAACTAGGTGGTATTAATGTTAAAGCTTCTACATCATTAGCTGTTTCAATATTTTGATCCATTAAGGAACAATCGTGTTCATCCAGTACAGTGTCATCAATCACATTAGGTGTATCTATCCATGAAAAATAATATATTTTACTTGCCTTTTTAAAATATAATTTAATATGATTAAATTTAATTGTACTTACCCAAAGTTGAACTTGATGGTATTAATGTTATAGCTTCTACATCGTTAGCTGTTTTAATATTCATTGAAGAACAATCATGTTCATCGAGTACAGTTTCATCAGTCACATTAGTTGCATCTATTCATACAACAAATTATTATCATATTTTTATAAATACAGATTTGTTTTAATTTGTATTTCTAGTACAAGATATTTGTATCATAATTATCATTTACCTATCATTAATATATAATTATAAATTACTATTGTCAACAGAGGTTAAAGTGGGATGTGGGACACAGGGGGACTCAGTCTCCCTTCCTCTGACGACAGTTAATAAGCATCATCTTTAACAAATTTGGACATTAGTCCCCTCTGAAATTTTTTCCCTTTAAGCCCAGATTGTCAATGATTATGTAGGTACCTATAAGATTATTTTACTTGTTATATTGTTTAAATAATTTGAAGGCTAATCAAAAAGTTCAATAACTGTTTAATCTAAATAATATAAATTCAATATATTTCAGTTCATAATATATTTTTGATCTTATACCTATATCTGATATATTACTGATATTTTTGGTTAGAGATTTTAAACATTATTTTATTGCAGTAAGACCAACTAACATTTCAAAACATATTTGTTACACTATTCACAAATTCTCAATAATGTCATTACCTGTAGGTACCTTAAATATCTTAAAATTTATCAAAATAATAATAATCATCTCTAGAAAATGATGGCATCGGTGGCATAACAATAGGGATGGCAAGATGGCAAAATTCAAAAAGCTACACTTAAAATATGTTAAGAAAAGTATAAGAAATTTAATAGAAAAATTATAAAAAAGGAACAACTTTTTCACAGAAAATTTAAGTGTATTTAATAAATAAATAAAAATTATACTTACATTTCACAGTTTTCACCTTAAAAAAGGTACTGATTTTGACACTAGTCTCAGACAATTTGTGTTGCTTGCATGATTTAACGTGCAGCCTATAATTATGTGAATTTAAGCTTCTCATATTTTTGCCGCAATGACAAATATTAAGTTTTGTAGAAGTAGAATCCATAATTATTATTTATTACAAATGGTAACAAATAAGAAAAATCACGTATAAGAACTGTGTCAGTGAACAAAGAACAATTGTCAATCGTTAATGGACAATGAACATTTTTCGAAAATTATTATTGATAGTGGATACTGATGATCATGTCGAGTGACGACCGTAGCGGCGTAGCCAAACGACCAGCCAGTGGATATCACCATACCATTTACAATACAATCCAAAAATAGACATATTTTGGTTTTTACAGCACACCGCATTATCGTTATCTGCGTTGCTATTACGGTCTACGGACTATGGCAGGCTCGTATCGACGTAATCGGCGTATCATTTACAACAGATGTGTTTTATGTAATTATGTTAAATATTATATAGTTTTAGACTTAAATACTTTCATAATATTTACATATGGGCTATGTGTCACCCACCCAGTACCCACCCACCCACCACATAATTCACTATGGCAGTCGCCATACTTGGGTATAGGGATCGGCGCCACTGAAACCACGCATGTGACCGGCGTACAAAACGAGGCGCCCGACATGCTCTCCCGCAACCCAACCACCGGGCCCCCTGTAGACGAGGAACGCCTCGAGGAACGACTATACTCCGGCCCACGAGAGAGTATTACCGTCGCCCGACGAAAACTCGTCCGATTCCGCGCATTCCCCACTACTCGGCATGTATCGACAACTGTTCGGTACCGGTCGGCAGCGCTCAACGCTATACGGTGTATAGCGGTCGCGGAAATAGTGGGGGAAATGGGGCCTCGGAACGGTCTCCGCCGTCAGTCTGCATGCGCAAAACGGTAATACTCTCTCGTGGGCCGGAGGATAGTAGGAGTACCCACCTCACCACTCATTGCCGCTACTAGCTCGCCGGCCGACAATCTGTTCGGAACGACAGACCCGGCCAACACTACTGGTGGACTCACAATCACACACGCTATGCTCGTGACATGGCAGGCCAATGACCCCAACACACGAGACAACATGACAACGGACGACCCAGCGCACGATACCGGAAGTACTACGGATAAAAAAAATCAATACATTTTACCGATGGTCTTTTGCGGATAAATTTGGGCGAACACACACCCGTAGTCATACCAAACAATCAAACACAGAACGTAATCTAGACATACCAAGATCACGTACTCGCAAACCACCCGGATTGGAAAGAAACGTACAGGGCGATAAAACA